TCTTTCGGTCATTACCCAAAGCTCATGACCATAGGTGAGGGAGGGAACGAAGATTAACCGGTAAATCGAGAGCTTTGCCTTTCGGCTCAGCTCCCTCTTTACCACAACGGTCCGATACAGCGACCGCATCACTGCGCACGCTGCACCGATCCGCCTGTCAATCTCACGCTCCATTCTTCCCTCACTCGTGAACAAGACCCCGAGATACTTGAACTCCTCCACTTGAGGAAGGACCTCTCCACCCACCTGCAGAGGGCAAGGCACCTTTTTCCGGTCGAGCACCATGGCCTCAAATTTGGAGGTGCTGATTCTCATCCCAGCCGCTTCACACTCGGCTGCAAACCGCCCCAGTGCATGTTGCAGGTCCTGGTTCGTTGGAGCCAACAGGACAACATCGTCCGCAAACAGCAGAGATGAAATCCTGTGGTCTCCGAACCGGACCCCCTCCGACCCCTGGCTGCGCCTAGATATTCTGTCCATAAATACAGTGAACAGAACCGGTGACAAAGGGCAGCCCTGTCGGAGGCCAACATTCACCGGGAACAGGTCTGACTTACTGCCGGCAATGCGAACACAGCTCTGGCTCCGGTCATACAGGGATCGAATGGCCCTCAGCAGAGGACCCCCGACCCCGTACTCCCGGAGAACCCCCCAAAGGACACCCCGGGGAACACAGTCGAACGCCTTCTCCAAATCCACAAAACACATGTGGACAGGTTGGGCGAACTCCCATGAACCCTCGAGTATCCGATGGAGAGTATAGAGCTGGTCCAGTGTTCCGCGACCGGGACGAAAACCACACTGCTCCTCCTGGATCCGAGATTCGACCATCGGCCGTAACCTCCTCTCCAGTACCCTGGAGTAGACCTTACCGGGGAGGCTGAGGAGTGTGATCCCACGATAATTGGAACACACCCTCCGGTCCCCCTTCTTGTAGAGAGGGACCACCACCCCGGTCTGCCACTCCATTGGCACTGCCCCCGATCGCCACGCGATGTTGCAGAGACGTGTCAGCCAAGACAGTCCTACAACATCCAGAGACTTTAGATAATCAGCGCGGATCTCATCCACACCCGGAGCCTTGCCACCATGGAGGCTACCAACCACCTTGGTGACCTCAGCCAGGGAGATAGATGTATCCGCCCCAACATCCTCAGCCTCTGCCTCTGTAACAGAGGACGTGACGGGGGGATTGAGGAGAACCTCAAAGTATTCCTTCCACCGCCCGACAATATCCCCAGTCGAGGTCAGCAGCTCTCCACCCGCACCGTACATGGTGTTGGCAAAGAACTGCTTCCCCCTCCTGAGGCGCCGGATGGTTTGCCAGAATCTCTTCGAGGCCGACCGATAGTCATGCTCCATGGACTCTCCGAACTCCTCCCAGTCCCGGGTTTTTGCCTCTGCAACAGCCCGGGCCGCGGCACGCTTGGCCTGCCGGTACTGGACAGCTGCCTCAGGAGTCCCCCGAACCATCATGGCTCGATAGGACTCCTTCTTCAGCCTGACAGCATCCCTTACTGCCGGTGTCCACCACCGGGTTCGGGGGTTGCCGCCGGGACCAGCACCAGAGACCTTGCGACCACAGCTACGAGCCGCCGCATCGGCGATTGAGGCAGAGAACATGGTCCACTCGGACTCCATGTCTCCCTCCTCCGCCGGGACCTGGGAGAAACTCTCCCGGAGGTGCGAGTTGAAAGTCCGTCTGACAGGGGGCTCAGCGAGACGTTCCCAGCAGACCCTCACTATACGCTTGGGTCTGCCAGGTCTGACTGGCTTCTTCCCCTGCCAGCGGATCCAACTCACGACCAGGTGATGATCGGTTGACAGCTCCGCCCCTCTCTTTACCCGAGTGTCCGAGACACGCGGTCGAAGGTCAGATGATACGACAACAAAGTCGATCATCGACCTCCGGCCTAGGGTGTCCTGGTGCCACGTGCACTGGTGGACACCCTTGTGCTCGAACATGGTGTTCGTGATGGACAAACTGTGACTGGCACAGAAGTCCAACAACTGAACACCGCTCGGGTTCAAATCAGGGGGGCCGTTCTTTCCGATCACCCCTCTCCAAGTGTCACTGGCGCCTCCCACATGGGCGTTGAAGTCCCCCAGGAGAATGACTGAGTCCCCGGGCGGTGCACCGTCCAGTACCCCTCCCAAGGACTCCAAGAAGGCCGGGTACTCTGCACTGCTGTTAGGCCCGTAGGCCGTCACAACAATGAGAGACTTGTCCCCCACCCGGAGGCGGAGGGACGCGACCCTCTCATTCACCGGGGAGAACTCCAACACATGGCGGCTGAGATGGGGGGCAATGAGAATGGCCACCCCAACTCGCCGCCTCTCCCCGCGGGAAACTCCAGAAAAGTGGAGCGTCCAACCCCTCTCAAGGAGTTGGGTTCCAGAGCCCAAGCTGTGTGTGGAGGTGAGGCCGACTATCTCTAGTCGGTATCGCTCAACCTCCCCCACGAGCTCGGGCTCCTTCCCCCCCAGTGAGGTGACGTTCCACGTCCCAAGAGCCAGATGTTGTGTGTGCGGACTGGGTCGCCGAGGTCTCCGCCTTCGACTGCCGCCCAGTCCTCTCAGCACCGCGCCACCACGGACCCCTCTGCAGGTGGTGGGCCCACAGGAGGGACTGCCCACGTCATCCCTTCGGGCTGAGCCCGGCCGGGCCCCGTGGGCTAAGGCCCGGCCACCAGGCGCTCGCATACGAGCCCCGACCCCAGGCTCCAGGGTGGGGCCCCGGCTGCGCCATGCCGGGCGACGTCACTGCTCTCGTTATAGTGCGATCCATGGTGGTTTTTGGACTGCGCTTCGTCTGACTCGTCACCTGAGACCTGTCTGCCATGGGAGGCCCTACCAGGGGCATGAAGCCCCAGACAGCATAGCTCCCAGGATCATCCGAGTACTCAAACTCCCCCACCACGTTAAGGTGGCAGTCCAGGGGGGAGTGTGAGTAAGAAATCAGATAACTACATATTTTGTAACATATAACATTACAATAAAAAAATAAAATGAACTCTTCTCTTAGCCTCTCAGCATAATGTGAATATAAAAAAAATTAAACATGCCTGTGGCAGACATATAGCTACTAACTAACTACTTATCAAAGGATAAACAAATGTAAACTTTTATCTTTAACAACAAAACATTAGATCTCTGAAATATTGTGCATGCTCATTCTAAGCATTTTTAGCAAGAAAGATGAGCCTGTCCACAACCACAGGTCCGTGGTGGCTGAGTAAAACGTCATCTCCCCCAGCTCACCGCGGATCTTTTCACGAGTTGTATTGTACAGGTGAGGCAGCGCTACATCGGCAAAATACTTGCGACTGGGGACAACGTACTGTACCTCGCATCTAATACTTTTAACAAGCCCCCCCTGTTAAAACCCCCCCGGGGGGTCGCGGGAACCCCTGGGGGGGTCGCATGATGATTTCTACGCAAACAAACAAAAAAGATTATTTTTTTTTTTGAGCAAATATAAAGCCCTTAAATATTTATTTAGCATTTGATTTGATTCAAAAGGACTACTTGTTAAATTGTGTTTGGAGACTATAATATATTTTAATAACGTTAGTAATTTTGTCCCAGTCATTGCAGCGTCAATCAAAATCATCACGTAACACAGCTCACATCATGCGCAGCGACAAAGCGTGTCCTGCTGTTGTTTGCTAAAACTAAAGGTGTTTGGAGGCTACAAATAAATAATACCTGCTTTAAAATGAAACGTGGTTAATATCCACAACAGAAAAACCCGGAGGGGGAGAAAAGTCACTTGTATCAGGGGTCAGGCTGATGGTGCGAAGAGAGGGAGAGAGGGCAGCGGAGGAAGGGAGGGCAGCGGAGGGAGGGAGGGCAGCGGAGGGAGGGAGGACAGCGGTAGAACAGCGCGTTAAAGAGGCCCGGCTTTTCGGAGTCAAAGGTAAAGAGGTCCGCACATTAAAAGCGGGTGGCCGGTCTATGCCTTTACTGACAGTAACTTTGGAAAGAGAAGCCGCGGGGATGAACCGCATAAAGTAACAGCAGAAAGCGGCCGCCCGCTTTTAATGTGCGGACCTCTTTACCGCTGACTCCGGAAAGCCGGCCCACTTTACCGCGGTAGGAGAACAGTGAGGGCGAGCCGCAAGAAATGCGCTCCACGTCTGCTGAGGAGGGTTAGCAGGGCATTTATGATGGGGGTCGCGGGCTAAAAACTTTGGGAACCCCTGCTCTACTACACGCTGCCATTCTTGTTTTGACTGTGTTTACGCGGCGGAGGGGGCTGGCTCATAACGCTCTACGGTGACCCACAAGGACGAAACGCAAAAAACTCAGAAAAAAAATTTGGTGAAAAAAAAACTCGAGTTTGCAAAATAAAAATCCTTTTAAGCTACAAAATTGATAAATCGATTAAATCGATTTTTTGCCCAGCCCTACTTTGGAGCTGTTTTCAACAAAGAAACCTAGACGACTGATCCGTGTAAAGAAAATAATGAATGGAGCCATGTATCGTGAGATTTTTTATGAAAACCATTCCATCAGCAAGGGCATTAAAGATTAAACGTATCTGGGTCTTTCAGAATGAACATGATCCCAAACACACCGCTCGGGCAACAAAGGAGTGGCTTTGTAAAAAGCATTTCATGTTCCTGGAGTGGCCTAGTCTCCAGATCTCAACCCTATAGAAGATCTGCGGAGGGAGTTGAATGTCCGTGTAGCCCAGCGACAGCCCCAAAACATCACTGCTCTAGTGGAAATCTGCATGGAGTAATGGGCCAAAATACCAGCAACAGTGTGTGAAAACCTTGTAAAGACTTACAGAAAACGTTTGAACCCTGTCATTGCCAGCAAAGGTTATATAACAAATTATTGAGATTAACTTTTGTTCTTGACCAAATACTTGTTTTCCACCATCTGATTTCTTTGAAAATCAGACAAGTGATTTTCTGGATTTTTCAAAAGCCAGCTGAAAGACTATGTTAACATATTTTCATATTGTCAATCTTTTGTTTCCCTGTTTTCAGCCGACCAGTGAAGAAGACCTCTGCCCCATCTGCTACGCTCACTCCATCTCCGCCATCTTCAAGCCATGTTCCCACAAATCCTGCAAGTGAGTTCAAAAGCCGCAAACAACAAACACACACCTGTACTTTAGATATGCATCTCATCTTTAGTTGCGTCCTCGGCTAAAATTTTGAAAGACCCCTTTGTAGCATCAGCGCCAAAACAAAAATGAACAAAAACAGAAACACAACCTGGATGAACTAAACTGGGGAAATACACCTTCATTTAAATAATAATACTGCTGCAGACTTGGCATTTTTCACTGTAGATGATTATAATCCGTTTATTCAGTTCGTAAGACCATCCCTGCTTCTTTGTTATTCGCTGAAGAAATGCATTCTGGTTTCTGCCAAACAATATTGAGTAGATTCTTACTAGGGCTGCACGATATATGTAAGTGTTTTATAATCTGTATGTATGTGACTGTATGTAACTTTTGTCCAGGACTCCCTTGAAAAAGAGGTTCTTAATCTCAATTGGACTTTCCTGGTTAAATAAAGGTGAAATAAAAAAATATTGGACATCAGAGCAGTATTTGTTATGGGTGTTTAGTATTTCAATAACAATATTAATGCGATATTTTTGTCTTTCACCTAATAATGCAATCTCTAACAAAATATAAGCGCAACAGTAAATACATTCATTTGCATAATGAAAAATGATAACTTCAAATCTTGCCTCAAGTTGCCAATTCTGCAAACAAAAGATATTACTCAAGTATTTCAGCTGTTTTATATATTTCCGCTAAACATCGCATGGCGCCGTAAAGATGGCGCAGTGGCAAGAGTTCTGGTGTGTCTGGTGCACACTGGGTAGTCTTGCACAGTTTTTCCAATGTGGTTTTACTGCAAATGGCAAATAAATTAATCTGAATCTGATTAATATTTGTATTTCAAATGCAAAGCGGCAATCATTCTGAAAAAAAAATTCTTTCTTCAAACACCTGTACTTGGCAAAATGGTATCGCCGGGTGGAACTCCTTTGCCAGGTCGAAGAAAAACCTCTTTACACACAAGGAGAGTGTGCACTTCGCTGTATGTAAATCGCGTAATGGCCGCAGGTAAAGCTTTGTGTCGCTTCAAAGTTTTCGCATAAGGAGCAAAAAACGCAAAACTGTCAATAATACTTGTTTGTACATTTGCGGAGTGGAGTTTGAGATTGTAAATACACAGCATAAAGTACCCTGTGGTTGTGCTGGAGATGGCTCTGGAGATTGTTGTTTCCCTTCGACGTAGCGACTATTTTTTGGCATGACTTGCGTTTGCAACTTGTTTCTGGGATTGGTTCCATCTCGTAAATCAGGACCAATTTCAAATAAAGTAGTCCCAAATTCCAGAGGATAAAGTGTCTTTTGGGAACTAACTCTTCCTCTCTGAATTGGTCTGCATTTTTCTCTTCATCATCCGCCATGCTTGTTTTGTTTTTTGCGTGCTCCACTGTGACATAAATACTCACTTACTTACTTAAGCTTACTTAAAACCCTCCACAGAAGGAGCAGTTTGAATATGAAGTTATACCCTTTCATGGAGAATTATTCCTTATTAGATGCCAGGATGTAGGTTTTCTTTGGTTATAAAAGAGGGCATAGAGTCAAGGCAAGCTTTGAATAGCTATCGGAATTGAAGGACTCTCAATAGCTTTCAATGATAGACTGGAGGGCAGGATCCTTTTATCGTATAGCGCTTGGCATCCACACGTGCCGCACTCGGCTCTTGCTTCCATTCCACTTACCCTTGGATTTTAAATTGGTGTATAATCAACGCACAAAGGGTTTTTTCTTTGCTGCGGATAATTTAACCATTATCAACACTAACTGGTGCTGCCTCCGAGCTCAGTGAAAACACTTCCCCCGCTGTTTCCCTGAACACGTATCGGTGCGAATGAAGCTTCATGTATAATACACAGGGCTCTAAATCATTGAGCCCCTCAGCCTCCAGCGTTCAAGCAACACAAATGAAAAAAAAACAAATAAAAGTGCACAGAACCTTTTATTATCTCTATACAGACATTTTTCTTATGCTAAAGCTTGAGATTTTCTACTCTCTTCATTATTATGCCAAAGCTAGAGATTTAATGTTTGCTTCTTTAATAAAATAAAGATATAGATTTTCTACTTGCTTCTTTATTAATGTTAAAGCTAAACATTTTATATTTGCTTCTATTTTTATTCTAGAGTTAGAGATTTTATGTTTGCTTCTTTGATCATGCTAAAGCTAAAGATGTTATACTGTTTTTTTTATGCTAAAGATGGAGATTTTATTTACTTTTATTTTAGTAGTATATTTTTTAATTGTCTCTGTATCTCTCTGTGCATCATGTGTGTGTCTCTGTGTAAGTAGTAAGTAAGCTTTATTTATATATATATAGGGATTCGAACCCAGGACCTTCTTGCTGAGAGGCGAGAGTGCTATCCACTCAGCCACCGTGCGTCTTTGTGTGTGTCTCTGTGTGCGTAATATTGTGTAATCGTCATTTAAAAGATATAGGACTTCTTACATAATACATTTTTGTTTGTCCCAATAGAAAGAGTCTGGTAAAAGTAACATTTTGTGAACTCGTGGGATCAGAACCTGCTTCGTCTCTAAAAAATATATATATTTTGCATACAAGAGGCCTGTGAGTCACTGTCTAGTTGTTTGGGCTGGTTCTTTATTGCACATTCTGACATTATTTCACATTATTGCACAGATATACAACGTGTGAAGTCAGGTCAACACTGCAAAGAATGATAAAATATGAGTATGAGTACATTGTGACTGTCTTAAAACAAGATTTGCCAATGGGACTCAGCTATTTTTCCAAGAACTTTATTTTCTCAATCCAAAGGAGACAAAACAAGATAATTTTGCTTTGTTCCATTGGCAAATATTGTTTTAAGGCAGTCAAAATGTGCCCAAATTAATACACATGTTGCCAATTTTGAGCAATTTTTTGACTTATTTTTGATCACTTTTTGCAGTGTACACAGTTGCATTGTTTGTGGTTGAAAACGAGCTTTTAAATAAGCTTCTTTACAAAAACACACAGACTCTTGCAGGTGCGTGAGTCAGCTGTTTGCTAACTGCTGATCGTAGACAATCCTCTGGCAGCTGACCTTGGTGCTGTTCAGGTCTCGATGCATATTTCATGTTTATCCCGAAGCCAGACTTGATTTAGCTTAGCCGGCTCGTCACATTTATGGAATATTTTGGCTTGATGGAGCGCTGGAGGAGTGAGCGATGGTGACGTGAGCTGATTCTGCACACCTGCCCTGCACTTTTCAGATGTGGATCGAGTTTTCCATGACATTTTAAATCAATTTAAAGGGACAGAAGCCTTCTGTTGAAAGAACGTGAGTCGTAAAGTGCTATGTGACCTGACCTTGATATTAAAGTGCTGGAGATGATTCTTGTTTCATATCGTCATTGTTAGATAGAGGAAATAAACGATAATTGTGGCCATACCTGCAGGGCACAGCCAGGCCCAGTCAGCGCTCTGAAGCTAAACAGGGCAGGCTTAAGTTAGTGCTGTGATGGGAGACCTCTATGAACACCAGGAGCGGCTAAAGTGCCCAAGCTGGGGTTTTGACCTTATGCAAGACTTCACCCACATTAGAATGAGTCTGGTGTGTGTGTAAATGGTTGGTGGTGGAAAAGGCTGATGGCACATGCTGGTTGCCTCACTTCTGTCATTGTGCCCCAGGGCAGCTGTGGCTACTGAAGTATCACCAATGTGTGAAGCGTCTTTGAGTGTCCTAAAAAGCGCTATATAAGACCAATGCTTTGTTATTATTATTGTCGGTCTGTGAAAGCCCCTTCTACTCACATGGAAACTGGCACCACACTGGGCAGACCGGTTCGGGAGCAAAGCCAAACGGCACAAACCTTCTCACTGGACCGGGCTCAAACGGTTATGAAGATTGAAACTAATTTATTTCTCCTCTGTGTCCTTGTCTCTGCTCAGAGCCTGCATCAATCAACACCTGATGAACAACAAGGACTGCTTCTTCTGCAAAGCCACCATCACGGGGGTCGAGGACTACTGCAAACCTCAAGGACCATAACAAACATCAAAGGAAAACACGCCAAGAGAGGAGCCCTTTCAGATTAAGAAAAACATCCTGAAACAAGAGCTTCTCGCCGACATATCAGTAAACCCAAAGATTTACCGAGTCTGTGTACTGTATTTATGAGTTTGTGATGTGTAGATGAAGGAACGTAGTAGGAGATATAGCGACAGAAGAGTAGTCAGTATTCACAAATGGGGAAATGGTACCGATGCTTTGTATGAGTATTTGTAAGATTCTGGTGTTAAGTTTACTTTGAGAATTGTTTAAGTTTATGTAACATTTTAACGCGAAAGATCTCTCTGGTCTCTCTCTCTGGTCTTTCTCTCTAGTCTCTCTGGTCTCTCTCTGGTTTCTCTCTCTCGCTCTGGTCCCTCTCCCTCTGGTCTCTCTTACTTTGGTCTCTCTATGGTCTCTCTCTGGTCTTTCTTTCTCTGATCTCTCCCTCTGGTCCCTCTCCTTCTGGTCTCTCTCACTTGGGTCTCTCTTACTCTGGCTCATCTCTATGGTCTCCCTCTCTGGTCTTTCCCTCTAGTCTCTATGGTCTCTCTCTGGTCTTTCTCTCTCTGATCTCTCTCGCTCTGGTCCCTCTCTCTCTGGTCTCTCTTACTTTGGTCTTTCCCTCTGATATCTCTCGCTCTGGTCCCTCTCTCTCTGGTCTCTCTCTCTCGGATCTGTTTTTTGCAAATGAACTATTCAATCGATTGAAATCTAAAGTTGGAAAGAAAATCAACTTTAGGATTTGTTTTAAAGCATTTTGGTTTATTCTAAAACTAAAATAATTATGACAGCACAAAATACAATCATGACATGTACAGGTTTATATAAACTCAATGTCTAAAATCATATTCAATATCTACACCTTTAACTTCTATTCTCTGCTTATGCATATTTATGACCTGGGCCTAACTGTATTTTAAAGGTCCATTTTCTATTATTGATCTGCGATTGGCCTGAAGAGGTTTAGTCGTTTAATGTTTGTCGCTGTTAGAATCCGATTGTGGACAGAATCCCCCGCTCTAGGGTTGTATTGCACCAGCGAAATGAATGCGCAATTTGATCAATTTGGACCAATAACCGGCTCCCGCCGCCTGGCCTCCATGGATTGGAACATTTTGAGCCATACTCCGAAATAGCAGTACTAATTACATTTGAAGAGGTTACTTCAATACATATTACAGTGTTCCTACAGGCTCTCTAAAAGTCTTTAAAAGCTTCGAATGTATGCGTCAGGAAGTGAAACCTTAAAACAGGCACAATGCTTGATTTAATACACTGCAAAAAGAAACAGTTGCTGAAATTTGATAAAATGCATTTTAATTTGGGCACTTTTTGGCTGCCTTCAAACAACATTTGCCAGTGGGACAAAGTAAAATGACCTTGTTTTTAATTCAAGAAATAAGAATGTATGATTAGGATAAACAAAACAAAAACCAAAACACTTGATTCTGTCATTTAATACCACATATTCCATCACTTTTTGCAGTGATTAGTTGTTTTTATAACTGAATACATAAATCAATTTGACTGGACTTGAAAAACCCTGTAGGAATCCTTACCTTAAAACACATTCAAAATCATTGTTTACATATTTTTGTTACTGCTTTTTGAGCCAATATGTGAACGACAAAAACAAAAGTCCCGGGCAGTTGTTTTGTTATTGTTGTGCACTGCAAAAAATATAAAATATGAGATAATAATTGCTTGAATCGTGGGTGTTTTTTGTAATCTTGATCAAACAAGATGGGACAAAGCCTATTAGACTTATTTCAACTGCTGCTTTATTTTCTCATTCAAAGAGAGACATTTCTTGTATATTTTCATACAAGATCATTTTGCTTTGTCCCATTTGCAAATATATTTTTTTAAAGATAATCAGAATATGCTCAAATGAATACACATTTTTGCCGAATTTGAGCCATAATTTTCACTTATTTTTCATCCCTTTTTTTGCAGTGTGTGTATAAATCCCATTCATGCCTGTTGTGGTCAGAGTAATTGCTGCTGAAACGAAGCCCTAAGTCCGTTCCTCTGTTTTTTTACGAGACAGAAAACTGATTTATTATTGTCGTTAAAGAGGAAGCCCACGGTGAGAGGGACACATTGTTCTGGAAAACACGCACAGAAAAGACATGTTCGTCGGAAGCTCCTCATTTGACGTTGTGGGCGCTCTCCTGGCGTTGTGTGGCGTGAGTCATATTTGCGGTACGCTCGGCCCCAAACTGTCAGCACAGGTACACGCTGCTCCCGTACATCACCTTCACTCGTGCACAAGAAGAAACAATGCAAGACAGTTTATTTTCCATTTGCAGTAAAAAAAACACATTGGAATAAATGTGCTGAAGTCCCCACGCTGCAAAAAGTGATAACACATGTGAGGTAAAAAAAAATGCTTAAATCAAGTGGTTTTATCTTAATTTTGCAGTGTATACTAGACAAGTACAAGACTGGTCTCTCTCTCTGGTCTCTCTCTGGTCTCTCTCTCTCTGGCCACTCCTTTTTCGTTCTCTCTCTCTGGTCTCTCATTCTCTCCCTGGTGACTCTTTCTCTGGTCTCGCTTTCTCTCTCTGGTCTCACTCTCTTTCTGATCTCCCTCTCGCTGGCCTCTCTTTCTCCCTCTGGTGTTTCTTCCACTCTCTGGTCTCTCTTTCTGGTCTCTTTCTGATCTCCCTCTTTCTGGTCTCTCTCTGGTCTCTCTTTCTCTTTCTGGTCTCTCTTTCGCTCTCTGGTCTCTCTTTCTGATCTCCCTCTCTGGTCACTCTCTCGTTCTCTCTGGTCTCTCTCTAGTCTCCCAGCTCACAGTCCTCTCTCTGAGCAGAGCACCTTGTTTAGACCTTTCTTTGGCTGTGATGTCGCAGAACCTACATCTATAACAAATGTCATTCATTAGGAGCCGAGGAGGAAGTGTGGAGTCCTTCTAACTGCGTAAACAGAACAATAATCGAGACAGATGAGGCCGCCATCTGAGCGCCTTTGTAAACAGCTCTGTCAAAGCGTTCTGTTCAGTTCTGCTCTGGTTCCAACACGGCCGGGTCGTCCTCACGATGCGTCCGTCAGCTCTGCAGCAAATACACCTCTGAAAGCCAATGGATAGTTATGGAAAATAGGAAATGACGAGCGTTACTGCAGAAAGTGAAGAAAAATAAGTAAGTAAGTAAGTTTTTATTTATATACCGCCTTTTCACTGCAGATCTGAGTCTCAAAGCGGTTTACAATTGTTAATTTTGGGCATTTGTCTCTCACTCCACACAGATGGGAGCGGGGCCAGTATAGGAGGCGCATGCCAGAACTATTGGACATATTTTTAGTGGTAGGGGAAACCGGAGTACCCGGAGGAAACCTACGCAGACACGGGGAGAACATGCAAACTCCACTCAGAAAGGCCCTGGTCCGACCGGGATTCGAACCCAGGACCTTCTTGCTGAGAGGCGAGAGTGCTATCCACTCAGCCACCGTGCCGCCGGTGGCTGTCACAAATGTCTCAAATTTGGCACAAAAAAAAATCTTAATCTGAGCACATTCTGACTGCCTTAAAACAAGATTTGTCTTGTTTAAAAAAAGATACAAGAAATGTCTCCCTTGCAATGGGAAAATAAAGCAACAGTTTTTGAAATGAGGCTATAATGGTTTTGTCCCAATGGAAAATCTTGTCAAAAACCACTCCATTCAAGCAAACATGACCTCATATTTTATAATTTTTTCGCAGTGTACACTTATCAACCCCACCCTTTCTCCCTTGTTTACCTGTAACTTATACGATCAGTTTTGTTTTGACTTGAATTCACTTAAAAAGGGTTTACTTTAGTTAAAACATTTGTACGAGTGATTGTTCTCGATCTCCAAAACGGCAAAAAGAACAGTTTGCGCTAATCATGGTTAAAACAAAATCCTATTGTTTACTATTTTTACTTTGTTTATTTTCAATTTTCAGTTGTGTTTTTTTTTATATACAAATATGTGGAGTTAACACTTACAAATCTAACATGGAGCCACTTTTTAGAATTTTTAAGTTATGACAAGTGGTCTTAAATGTCATCAAACTCTGTAATGGTAGAATTCTTTTGCGGCGCCACACGGACGATAGAACGAAGCGGTCTAGAAATGGGAACGGTTCAGTTTTTGATCGGGGGAAAGCGGGGAACGTTGTAGTCGATGTTTGAACTTGTTTTTCCTCCGATGTTTTGGAGGAAGGTGGTACTTTTGTCTTCTCAGCATGTCTTTGAGTGGAGTGCCTATCTGAGGGTGCCAGCGTGTTCTTGTGAAATGATTGTACGAAGCAATATTCAACACAGAGTAGGTTTGTTTTGACATTTATCTTATGCGGATTTTTGGAGGGAAAATGACGTGTGGAGGAGAGAAGCCCACGCTCTCTTCTTTGTGAGTGCACAAAATGTATGGTTTGTGGAACTGCATTAAATTATTTATTCAAACCAGTTTTATTGCCTCTCTCCTCATTTTGTTTCCTCAGATTTTGGTCCAGTTTAGTTTGTTACAGATGAAAGGGGTGTAAATGTGTTTAACAGTTATCTTTTAAAGTAGCAGGATGTAAGATTTGCATGTCAAGTCATCATTAAATGGCCCTAATACATGGGTGTCAAACTCAAGGCCCGCAAAGGATTTATCTTGGCCCCCCGGGATTATATTTTATTAGTATGAGAACCGGCCGCACAGAGACATAAGAAAATATTAGATAATTCATTTAATGTTCAGGACATGTGTTTTCTGTTTGACGGAAGTTTGTTTTTGTCCGTGAGCTTTTTTTACACTTGAAATGACTGACAGAGCCATACAAAAAATATAGTTATTAAAGATGTAGTCAGGGATTTTTTCCAGATGGATTTTTCTAAATATTGTGGGAAAACATCCCTAAACCCTAAAAGCAGTCAAGTAATCATGTATTTTCAAATAGTATTGGAATTGACCAGATGCCTATAGTCTCCAAAAATTAATAACAAATATTTTTGAGCGGACCGATGAAAATAAAATCAATGGGATGC